GTGGGTCTGCCTTACACATGCACACATGTGTGTGTGCACGCACACACACACACACACACACACTCTCCTCCATCTTTTTCCTTGCTTCTCAGCTGATTGTTGGCTGGTCTTTCTCTCCAATCTCTGTGCAATTCTGGGTCCCAGAGAACCCCATTAATCTTTAGGGTCTGGGCTATTTCTTCTCTTGTTTTTCTCCTTGCTGCCCTTTTCACAGGCTCTCCCAGCCTGGCTGCAGGGCTGAGAGGACCCCTCCCGGAAATGGCACCTCCAGAGCAGCTGGTGGGGTGTGGCCCTGTGGGTGGGGGCAGGCAGGGCTGGGGAGGGGATGATGTGCCTTGGATTTTCTTCTGTGAACATTTTTGTCCACTTGACGTGAGGTTTCATTGATTTCAGCTGATGTCTTTCTGGTACGTAGGCGAGGCTTTGACGACCATGCAGAGCAGGGGAGGATGGGGGCAGAGCGCTGACCCTGGAGTCGGGAAACCTCCTTCTAGTTTCACAGGCACTGGGTTTCCTGATCAGATATATGAGGGGTTTGGAACTGATGATCGTTTAGTTCTACCGTGTTGAGATTCTAGGAGACTACTATTCCCTTTAGAGTCTGTCTACACCCTGATCATTGCCAATTAAAGTCTCTCTCTCTGTAACTCATTTGTATGTACAGGCATCGTACATGTGAACATGCAGACATACACGTGCCCCGCCCCTTGCCCATCCAAACACAGCTTAGCTACTGCATATTTTCCAGTAACTTCCCCAGCTCAGCTGGGCCCCAGGTTCCTTTTCAGGGCACACAGACACACACACACGATCCACACCACTTTGAGGTGCAGCTCTGGGTTGAAACATGCCTCCCGATGACGGTGGCCCTGGAGCTCACCAGCCTCTCCACCTATTTCCATGCCCCCTCCCCTAGGAGTAAAGATCTGAAACCTCAGCTTTGTTCTTGCTGCATCCCCCTCCCCTTGATTGGAAAGAGGAAAAGGGAGGGAGGACGTTATCAGCCCAAGAGGGGGTATGGAATGAATGTCAGAGCTGCAAGAGACGCCCAGATCACTACCTTAGTGGACAGGTTTCCAAACATTTCACGTAGAGCGTGGAACCTCAGTTCTGATAGCTCTTCCCTGGGCAGGCAAACAAACCGAACTGATAAAAGCACACCTGCTGGGTTAAGGTGGCTGGGGGTTGGGGGCCAGCGCACTCAGCGTCACCCTGCCCCTGTTACCACTCCCACACGCTCCTTGAGTGAGTGAGCTTCCTGTAACCCCCTGGAGCTTTGACAAATACGGCTGCAAATCCATCCCTCTAGCCTGTGGTTCTCCAGCGTTGTCCCTGGACCAGAAGCGGCACCAGCGCCTGGAGACTTATTAGAAATGCGGGTTCTCAGGACATCCTCCAGGTCCTGCTGAATCAGAAATCTGGGCGTGGGCCAGGGATGTACACTTAAGCCCCCAGGTGATTCTGATGCACTCTCCGGTTTGAGAAGTATTTGGCCAGGACAACCCCTTGCTTCACAGATGAGGACCTGAGGCCCAGAGAGAAGGTGGGTCTTACCCAAGATCTCAGCAAGTGGCCTTGTGGTGGGGCTGTGACTCTAGGCCACATGGCCTGTCTGTAAGGTCCAGGCGGTGAAGCCCTGAGATGCTCCTGCCTTGTTGCCCCAACTTGCCTTGAGGTGGCATAAACACTGGGGGACAGGCTGGGCTGGAGTCCTTTCCTCTGGGGAGGTTGCACTAGGTGGTGGGTGGTGAGGGTGGCCCCGGGCCTGCACACATGAGAGGGTGTGTGTGTGTAAGGGCCCCATGGAGGGCAAAGACTCAGGGCGTAGCTAGTCATCACCTGCAGGGTACCCCCTCGGGAGTGTTCTTGGACTGGGCAGATTCCAGCAGATGGTACTTTGGGAAGGAGCTTGTGTTTGCCCATGGGCCAGTACGAGGGATGGGGAGGGCAAACTTGGTCTGGCTGGGCCCCTGCTGGGAGCATGGCTGGCAGGCAAGGGGGTGGCCTGGCATGGTGGGTAGAGGAGTAGAAGGACTCCGCTCGCCAGCCCTGCTGCCAGTTTCCCAGAAGCCTGGGGACTTCTCCAATGAATTAAGGAGCGTTTAACATCTCTGGCTAATTAGCTACTGCTGCTACCGAGGAAGGAGGAGAGGGGAGTTGGGAGCTAGGGAGCTTTGAAAAGCAATGCTCCTCCTTGACAAAGCCGGCCTGGGGAGGTTTCAAAGATAACTTCTGAGCAGCCTGCACGTTTCATGTCCATTAGATCCTTGCTTCCCAGGCTCTAAACGCAAACAGTGGGATTTGAGGGTTTTCTTCCCTTTTTGGAGACATTTTGTTCTGAGCGGAGAGCTTTCAGCTGGAGCGGAGGCAGAGCCAGCGGAGCTCCTTGCTCCTCCAAGTCTGCAGCCTAAGCAGAACCTGGCTCCATCTTTTCTGCACTCTGGAAGCTTCCTAGGGGTCCCCTGCAGCTCTGCACCGGCCGCCCCCACCAAGGCTAGTTCAGCAGGTGCTCATGGCTATCTGGTGGTGGTGGGCACTCAGGGGTACAATCCAGGGACTGCTGGACTGGAAGATCAGTGAAGACAAGACCCAGAGTTCTGGTTTGTCATTATCTCCTTGGCACCCAGGTGCTCCAAAGATGTTCACTGAAGGAATGAATGAGTGAAAGAATGAATGTGCTGGTCATGTGCCTGTTGCTTTCAGATCCATTTCCTGCCTTTGTGTGCCTTGTGGCCCAGGGAACTACATTTCCCAGGCTCCCTTGTACGGGCTTCTGGGTAGCTTGAGACAATGGGAGTGGAGTGCGGGAGGAAGGGAAAGGCCAGGATGTTTCTCCCTCTGCTTCCAGCCGGGTCTCTGGAACATCTGTGTCTAAACAGCCCCTCCCTGCATGGCACAGCCCCCTCTGGCAGGCCTTCAGTGGTCTTGCTTCTGCCTGGTGGCCTGGCTCCTGGGATCCTGGAACCCTGCCTTCTGCCTCCAGCTCCGAGAAGGTGGCAGTGGTTGCTAATTTCTGGGTTGTCTTAGCTCTTCTGTCACCTGTAGAACCAAATCCCTGATTTAAATTCCTCCGCTTGAAAGGCCCAGAGTGGTTTCTGTTTTCTCAATGGGCTCTGGGAAACGAATGAATGAATGTGCTGCTTATTCCCTTCAGAAGAAGACTGGGTAGCGGGTTTGATCTGCCTGGGACCTGAAGTCCTACAGATGTGACAGCTTGTTCTGTGCAGAACACCGCATCCCACTGCTAGGGTGCATACCTCTGGCATGTAAGTGCTGCTTTAGTCTGGGGGACGGCTCCCTGCCATCCCAGTAATGCTCTTTCTCCCTGAACTTGGCTCTGCTGTGTGACGCAAAAGCAGCAGATGTGGCATAAAGGAACAGCAAGGTGCAAAGAGGAAGACGCCACCTGCTGCCTGCCAGCCCCTGTGCGGCCTTTATAGTCTTTGTCTCCGTGAAGGCTCACAGTGAGTCTGTTGGGTGATGGTGCTATCCTCATTCTATGGAGGAGGAGACTGAGGCTTTAACAGCTGAAGTGACCCCTTTCCTCTTTCACGGCTGAATGGTCTCTTAGTTCTGGCCCTTCTGTTTCACTTTGATGCCTTATTCTGCCTACCTGCCCATCCTCACCGTTTCCGCCCACTTTAAACCCTCAGAGTCCTTCACCAGTCTCCTACCTGGTTCACTTGCCCCCAGGCTCACTTTCTTCCAACATGTACTCTGCACCCATGACCAGGGCCATTTTCTATGACATCAAGTGGACCACATACCCCACTGCCTACTGCCTGGCCATAACTCCTTACGGCTGAAGGAATAACATCCAAGCTCCTGGCATGGCAGCACGGCTTCTGAGATCTGCTCCAGCCCCGCTCCCCGCTGCATCTCTGTCCCCCTCCCTGCCCCCGCCCCCACCCCCACCCCCAGTTCAGTCTCATGAAGCTGCCTGGCATTCCCCTATCAGAGCTGGTGGGTCACATCTCTGTGCCTTTTCCAGGGCTGTGTGCTCAGCTCTGAGGGCTCCCCAGTGCCCCATCCCCATCTCCTTGGGAAGCTCACACTCTTTCTTCAAGAGCTGGTTTCAGCCCCGCCTCTGGGACACCTTGCCCAGCTTCCTGATCCAGGCGGGCCCTCCTGCTCCCAGGCACCTTTGTCTCTTTGCCCCTTTTTGCACTCGGCACACTGTAGGGTGACCATCTGTCCGCATCTCTATTTCCCTTCCTAGACTGCGAGTTCCTTGAGGGTAGGAACTATGCTTCATTCATTTACTTATTTAAAAATGCTTATCAAGCACCAGCTTTATTCCAGGCACTGTGCCAGATGCTGGGATACTTGCTTCATGTCAGTCACACCAATAATACTGACAAGCAAGGATCCCAGCCATGTACATACCATTATAGGTCATGAAGCAAAAGTCAAGAGTATGATAACCTAGGTGTCTGATACTACAAGGCATTCAATAAATGCTACTTTTATTCCCCTGCCCCAGCCCTGGGCACCAGGATGTGCATTTATTACTGTGTTCATAGTGTGGCTCCCAAATGGTTACCCAATGGTCTGCAAGCCCCCTGTGCAGAGAGACTGTCTCTTCAACTCATGTGTCCAGGGTCTGGCACATAGTTAGGTTCGTGTTAAGTGCAGGTTGAGTTAAAAATCGAATTGCATCCCAGTGAGTGAGCCAAGATGGCCTTACTATCTATCTGGAGGATCCCAGGCCACAGGGCTGTGGATATGGCTGCCTTTCCTCTCTGGACTTGTAAAACAGAAAAAAGGGCATCCTTTCAACACTGTTATTTAGCAGCTGTGTGACCCTGTGCAAGTTATGCAACATCTCTCAGCTTCAATGTCCTCACCAGTAAAATGGAGATAATAATAGTACCTATGCTGGAAGTTTACTATGAGGAGGTTTAAGGTAATACTCAGAAAGTGTCAGGGCCATGCCTGGCATAGAGCAGGTGCTTTGTAAATCTGCACTGTGATTATTATCTCTCCGATTTCTACCACAGGTTCCCAGAGAGTGACTTACTGTCATCTGTATGCATCTGCCCCCCTCGGATCTCACACCCAGCCCAGCCCCCTCCGGCCTGGCACGGGACTGGAGTCCCATCTTTCCTCTCGCTAAGAAGCTGTGGGTAACTGGGGCTTAATTAAGCACGCTTGACTGGGGTGTGATTAGCGGCTGCTGTGAGTCAGCAGAGGGCCAGGCCAGGGCGGGAGAGGACTTGTGAGATGGAGAGAGAATGGAGCAGTAGGCTTCTGGTGCCCTGGGCTGTGTTTCCAGGCTCAGTCAGCCCGCTTTGTGCCACAGTTGAGGGGGATAGGGGAGCAATTCTCTGGCCTCCTCAGTGCCTCTGGCCCCTCTCACCAGCCATCCTGCCCTGTACCTAGAGCCGTAGCCCTGTGGTTGTTCTATTCTCTCCTCTCATTCTAGGTGCTGGGGTTGGTGTAGTGAGCAAAATGGACACAGGTCCTTGCCCCCAATGCAATGTAAAGACTGGGGGACATGGAGAACATGGAGAAGTAAAAAGAGATTAAAATACCCTTTGATGTCTGCCACCATGGGGCAGCACACAGGAGACCTGGAAGAGCTGGTTTCTCTCTGCTCGGGGTGTCCTGTCCTGCATAAACCCCCATCATGTGTTGAGGTGACATTTCCTTACCAGCCTATCTGCCAACCTACTGTAGGCAACCCAAGGGCATGGACTGTGTGACATCCTGCCCTGAACCTCTAGCTCTTGGCACCGTGCTTGGAATACAGCAGGTGCTCAAAGAGTTGGTTGGTTGGTTGAGTGAACTCCGCTCAGGAAGCAACTGGCTGTATGATCCCCTAGAACAGGGGTTGGCAAACTACAGCCCGCGGGCCCAGTCCTGCCTGCAGCCAGCCTACTTTGTATAACCCTCCAGCTAAGAATAACTTCTACATTTTTAAAGGGGTGGGTTGTAAAAAATAAATTTATCAAAGAATAAAATGCTGCAGAGACATAAAGCCTAAAATATTTACTTGGGTGTTTTACAGAAAATGTTTGCTGACCCCTGGCCTCGAAGCCCCTGTCTGCGGCTCACTTTCCTCATCTATGAAATGTGGAGCCTGAGTTACATACCAGAGAGGTTCCTTCCTGGAGAGAAGTGGTGTGGTTCTGTAGTCCGTTGTTCTTCTCTGTGTCCCAAGGGTCCGTGTTGCGCTCATTGCGTGTGTCACAGCAGCTGCCACAATGCCTGCATGTTGCAGGCGCTCAGATGGTGTCTCCGGCTCATGTTGCAGTGGGATGGGAGGGAGCTCAGAGCCTGGCTTTGCTGCGCAGAGCTGTGTGAGCTAAGGTGAGTACGTTCTCTGTAGTCCCCTCACCGGGAAAATGGGGATAATAATTTAGCATGTACTTCCTAGGTGTGCAGTGAGAGTTGAAGGAGATAGTTAAATGTGGAGGGGCTGTGTAAATTGTATAGTGCAGTCAAATGCTAGTAACTATTTATCGTTATTACTGGGCATATTATGGGTACTCAGTTTTGCTACTTAGTTTCGCTTGATACACTGTAACTCAGAGGGCAGTTTCCCTAAGAAGGATGGTCTGGTTCTTAAAGGTAGGGTAGGTTGTAAAGCTGCCCATCAGAACCCTCTGGATGAGAGGGCTTGGTGATGGGGGTATCTGTGGTTCTGGGGCACCCCCTGCCTATCGCTGCTGCTCCTTCAGGTGGTGGGCAGAGGGGAACTGTGGGAAGGAACAATTTATTAAGACTTGGGGAAGGTAAACCCCCAGAGTCTTGGTCCCCATCACTTCCCGGGGCAGAGGATGAGCCGGACCCGCACAGCAGCCTCGGCACTGTCCCCACCGCCACCTGTGTTTGCCAGGACAGAGAATCTGGCTCTCCTGCCCAGCCCAGGGCCCCGACTCAGGCTGCCACGGGACCCAGCTTCATGGCTCCGTAATCGTAACTGAATGTTGTTTAGCATTTCCTTTCCAATGAGCTCTCCTGTGCGTATCCACTTAGTTTTCCACAGGAACCCTGTGGGTAGGGATGCCCCACCCCCAACATTTATAGATGAAGATTCTGAAGTTCATGGAGGTTAAGGGACCTGCACAAAGTGAGCGTCCCAGCTGTGGGGAGACCTGGGGTCCGTATTTCCAGGGTGCTATCACACCAGCTTGCCTTTCTTCGCCTGCCTCAGCCGCGTAACTCCAGGGCCCTCCCCCACACGATGCTGTCCTTCCCTGTGTCCCAGCCGCCTCACGGGCCCACGTGGACTCTAGGGCGGGCCTGCCCCTGCAGTGGAAACCGGCAGTGGCAGCAGTGGGCCTTGGGGCCCTCCCTTGCCTGGCCCTGACCCCCGGGTCCCCAGGGATAGAGTGGCTCGGGGAGGCACGCACCAGGGATGTCAGGGAGGAGATGTCAGAGTCAGTTACCATGACGTGGATACTTGTGCTGCCGTGGGGGCCTGCTGGTCACACTGTATCAGGCAGCCCTCAGGACCCGCTCCCCCTAGCCAAGAGGTCAGCTGCCTGCCCTGCTCTCTTTTCCTCCTGTTGGGTGCCATATGTGGTGGCATTCCTGACCCCTGGGGGTACAGTTAGGATGACCAGCATTCAAGAGGCACCACTTCCCAGGCACCGAGGCTTCAACTGCAGGAAGGAAGCCTGGATCCCTTAATAGTTCCATCTGGCCCCCAGGGACCCAGGCTCCTATTGCATTGTTCGGTGGGGAAAGTCTGGGTTTCAAGGACCCATCAGTCCCTCTCTGTAGGCTCAGCTCAGAGGTGATGCCCAGCAGAATCAATGTGGCAATGGGGAGCAAGCTCAGACCTTGCCTGCTGGAAAGAGCAGGCCTGGTTCTGCCCTTGGGGTTGCCTGGCACCACCCTGCCCAGCAGCACAGTTCCCCTCCTGCTTTGCTTAACCTTAGCTTTGTCCCCGCCACCCTCCCCGCTTCCTCAGTCCACAGCAGGAGGGCGGGGTGGGCAGTGAAAGGGTATCAGAGAGGCCATACGTCCACATCCTGGGGAAGAAGGTGTTTTGGACAGAATGTGGCCCAAGTAGGGTACCCAGGATGCGGAGTGAGGGGTGGAGGGGTAGAGAGTGTGAGCCGGGCACAAGCTGAGCCACAGAACGTAGAGCTGCTGCATGCCTCCCCTCCTCCCGAGGCCTTCCTGACCACCCCTCAGGGTCTGGCCCAGCCCTCCTTTCCAGGCCTTATCCCTGACCTCATCACTGCCTTCCCAGACTCCAGCCTTCCCAGTGCCCTGCCCGCCTGGGGCCTCAGCGCTCCTGCCTGCCCCTATCACATCCCCCAGGCTGCCAGCGCCTTAACTGCTGACCACATCTCCTCCCTGCTCTGGAGCCTTCGATAGCTCCCCATTGCTAACAGGACCACATCCAACTTTTAATCACGACACCACGGCGCATCGGGGTGCAGCCCTGCTCTCTCCTGCAGCCTGGCTCTCCCTAGTCCCCCAAGAAGGCTGTGTGAACAGCGTAACCCCGGACACACCATGCTCGCTGTCATCTTGGGTCTTGGCATGTGCTGACCTCCTGCCAGGGTTGACTGTCATCCCCTGTCACCATGTAGAACGATGCTACACATCCTTCACACCCCCTTTCAAGGTTCCCCTCTGCTGGGAGGCCTCCCCTGGCTTCTGTGCCCACTGAAATACCACCCATTGGGGTACACATCTCCACGCAGCTACTGTCTGCTTACATTTTGCTTGTTCATTGATGTTACTCCATGACTCTTGACAGTGAGTAACTGAGGGCGGAGACAATGTCTTCATCGCCTCAGGACCCTTGGCAATAACTTTGTACTTGACCTACATTGCTGGTATTTAATCAGTTTGGAAATGCTTGAATTAATAAACGAATCCATGAGTAGGGCCATGGGAAAGGAACTTAAGCTCAAGGAACCCTCCCTATATCCTATTCCTTCCCCAGTGCCCCCCAACACCTCCCCATGGGACAGGGCAAGACAGGGCTCAGAGCCCGCAGTCCAGGAGGCCCTTAAGGGTCTTGGACATTAGGTGCTGGGCTCCCAGGAAGAGTTGCATCTCCAAAGAGCTCCCCCAGCCCGGCCTCCTGTCATTCTCAGACATCCCTCGGGACCGTGCTCTACCCGTTTCTGGCATTCAAAGCCGAATCCAGCCTCAGAGCCCAACAAGCTCAGCCGATCTGAGGAGCTGCATTTGCTGTGGCTTGGCCAGCCTCAGCCAGCTCCAAACTAGGTCAGGCCCTGCTGCTGGCCAGCAGGAGTTGGCCAGCGCTGACTGCCCAGTGGCCTGGCCATGTGCTTGCAGCTTCTGGGTAGAGAGCAGGGAGGCTGCTGAGGTGGGGGTAGTATAGCTGGGGGTGTGGTGGGGCAAGGGTGGAGGAGGAGGTCTGACACCGAGGCCAAGGTGGGTTAAAGTGTTTCCCTTGCTGCACGCCCATGAATTAATTAGCGAATTCACCATTCATTCTTTCCCTTAGTCACTCAACTAACATGTATTGTATGCCTGCCTTGTGCCAGGCACTGTACTAGGTACTGGGAAAGGAAGAAGATCTCTTTGACTGGAGAGGGAGGCAGACACACAACCAACCACAGCAAGATGGGCATGGGTGACACTGAGGGGTTGCCCTGCAGACAGGACAGTCGAGTGGCTGGAGGTGAGAGAGCCACCATGTCCTGAGGGCCACTGCTCGCCTGGGGGCAGGAGCCAGCCTCAACTCCCCTTTCTGTCCACCTGCCCCCTGCCCACGAGCACGTGCTCTGGATTGTACCTCCCTATCAGACCCCTAAGCCAGCCTCCCTGCCTGCACTGCCATTGCCCCTGCCCCAGCCTCCTCCTGCCAGGTGTCTGCAGTTGCCTTTTAATGGGGCTCTCTTTTTCAGTCTGTTCTCCACGTTATGGTGAAATGACCTTGTTCTAAATATGTATTTTATTTTTAATAGATAATATACGCCCTTGGTGCAAAATAGAATGATTTAAAAAAAAAAACAGGAGTCGTATCATGTCACTCTTTTGTTCAGAATCTATCTGATGACTCCTCTCCCATTTAGAATGAAACCTAAACTGGTCTACAAAGGCCTCGCTGACCAGGGGTCTGCTTGTCTCTTTGATCCCAACTTGCACCACTTTCCCGTCTCTGACTGTGAACCAGTCTGCTTCTCAAACAGGTCACTCTTCTTGCCTCCTGAGGTCTTTGCACTTGCTGTTCTCTCTGCCTGGAAAGCTCTTCTCCAGATCTCTGCTTGGCTGCTTCTTCCAGGCAACTGGATCTCAGCTTAATGTCACCTCCTCAGAGAGGCCTTCCCTGATTACTAACCTCAGGGAGCCGTGAGACATTCTTCCTACCACTGTATTTTAAAAGTTAGCTTTATTGAGATATAATTGCCATATAATAAAATGCACATATTTAAAATGCTCAGTTGGCTAAATTTTGACATATTTCTATCTGTGAAACCATTGCCACATTCAAGATAGTAAATGTATTCATCACCCCTAAAGGTTTCTTCATGCACCTTTGTAATCCCCTCTCTGCCCCTCCTGCCCTTCTCTCACCATCTCCTAGCAGCTATTGATCTGCTGTATCTAGATTAATTTGCATTTTCTAGAATTTCATTTTTGAAGAGAGAATTTTATTTTTGAAGAGTCTGACTTTTTTCCCTCAACATAATTAGAGACTTATCAGGATTCATGTATCAGTACTTTATTCCTTTATATTGCTGAATAGCATTCTAATGCATAAATATACCACCATTTGTTTATACATTCGCTTATTGCCAGACATGAAGGTTGTTTGTTTCCAAGTGTTCACTTTTATAAAAAAGCTACATGAACATTTCTGTACAAGTGTTCTCTTTGGAGCGTACCTGGGTGTGGAAGGAAGGGCTGGGTCATATTTAACTTTTTAAGAAACCGTCCAAACTGTTTTCCAAATTGCTTGTAAAATTTTACATTCTCACTGACCTTGTATGAGAATTCCAATTCTTCCACATCCTCGACAAAAATGGGTATGGCTAGTCTTTTTATTTTCAGCTACCCTCGTAGCTATGTAGTGGGTTTCTCATTGTGGTTGTAATTTGCATGTTCCTAATAATTAATAATGTTAAGGATCTTTTCATGTGCTTCTTTGCCATTTGTAGATTTTCTTTTGTGAACAGTCTGTTCAAATATTTTGTACCCCTCTTTTAAAATTGGGTTGTTTGTTTTCTTATTATTGAATTGTGAGATACACGTTTTATATTCTCTATACAAGTCCTTGTTATCAGGTGTATAATTTGCAAATAATTTCTCCCAATCTCTGGTTTGTCTTTTCATTCTCTTAGTGTCTTTCAAAGGAAAGAAT